TGATGATGTGATCCTATGCTCACCCTAGAGTAGTGAAGTGTAGATGAGAGGTCATCAAGTCTAATGGGGTATCACCCAATTTATCTACAGGCATATACATGATGCCGAGCCCGTGTCCTAAAGTGTAGAAGCGGGGACATTGGATGATAGAGCGTGGCGATAAGTCCAAACACGTAAAGCTGTACCGCCGTCATGCTCTCTGGCGGAATATCGCATGTACCTACCACTTCTGGTTAGTGCGACATAACGGTGATCGAGTCCTGCACGCCCTGTCAAGCAATACACGAAAACAGATGTGTTATCTATCCCAACTCCTGTGACTCATGGGTATGAACTGAAAATCATGCGCTGTTGTTGTGTTTCTCGCGGAACGTTGCGTGTGAAAAGAGCAAACCGCTCAGCGGAATTGTGTCCGCTGTGGGTCGGGTTACTCGACTGGTTTGGGAAGAGACGCGATATTCTCTTAAGCGGAACATTGCCATTGCGCTGCCACAACAAGCTGGGCGATGGTTCTTGCCAATCTTTGCAACGGATTCATAGTCGTATCATGTAAACGAGTGATCTAGAGCATACAAGGAGATCGATGATACCAAGATTCAATCACGAAAGGAGTGCGATCTCGGAAGACATCTATACAACAGTGACAGAAACAATGTACCGGCTTGGCATGGTAGTGTGAAGACTACATAGGCTTGTACTGAATCGGCCGGGTCTGTGTACGCTTGTCGTACATTGTCTATGGGTCTCGAGTTGTACATCAGGACGATCCCGAGGTCGCTATGAAGAGAGCCCTGGAGGTATTCCGCAGGACTAGGAAGATTTCTTAGCCGTACATTCGGTGTCACGCTGTACAGTAAAACTGCTTCAACATCAACATACTGTACGGTACACTAGCCTATATTCTTCCGGCTATCATTGCCCTGCGGACGAAATCACAGTGGTGCAGTATTCGCTAGGCTTTCCTTGAATAGCAATATTGATGCCTAGGTGAGAACATGCATCAGCAAACCGTCTAGGCGCCGGTAGTGGAGATTAACGATCATTCCAGACAGTTTTCGTTAGTGCTACGGCTCTCGACTCGTGCATGACACTATACCCTAGCCAGACCGTAGACCCACAGACGAGGTTGGAGGCACACGTTCCTCAATCTCGTGGAATGACAATAGGAATATAAAGTTTTTCTCATTACTTTCTTCCATCAAATCAGCCATCTCAGCTGTTTCAAACCTCGCATCGGTGGTTTAGTGGTAAAATTAGCCGTTGCCATCCTTCACAGGACAGTTTCGGCTAGCCCCGGGTTCGATTCCCGGCCGATGCAACTAGCAATTATCTTTTTGTCCTCGTGGACGTTGTGTGGTGGTTGTGGTGAACAGAGATGTGTTTTTAAGGGGGTCGTTGGAAGCACACGTGACGATATTGCGGTAGCTGGCAAGCGGCACTAGCGCCGGTTACCTCCGCACCAGCAGCGGCTTGCTAGACGTGGTAGACATTATCTAACCAAACATGCACAGCGGCTTTGGTTTTTTGTTCTTACAGTACCACCTGGCTTTGGTTTCTCTGTAAAAACTACATCTGGCCTATGCTCAAAAGTTTCAACCCGTAGCGCTCGCTTTAGCTCCAATTACAAAAATTATTGCCTACACATGGACGCTATTTCGTACGCCATAGAGATGGAATATGTGCCTTTAGGTCTACTGGAGGCCTAGTTTGTATGGCAATGGTCGTCAGTTTGTGCTTTAGTAAATGAGTTGATTGAATGGCCTTGGTCGCTGGTATGGTAGGCCTATCACCTACAGCACATCCAACACCTGGCAAGATTGCCCCTCATCCCTTCGCATTTCCTGCGATAGTAGCGGCCACCACACCCCCGATTGCTGCACCAAGTCCGATCCTCCTATTCTCCCTCTGCCCACTCACTCGCCATCGGTGACTCGCTTTCGGCACCACGACCCTCTCTGGCTCTGCAAGGCCCATCTGTCCCGGCGGCGCATGTTTGAGTTGGCCGTACTGCACTTTCCTCTTCCCAACATCCTCAAGTACCTGATCGAAATCGCCATGATATGCTTTTGTCTTGTCAGGCGCGATGATGGGCGCACCAAAGGCTTGCGATATTTCAAGCGGACCAAGAGTGACCTTGCGACCGAGCTGCCAGAAGCCCCAATATACGGGTAGGACGAGCATGACGGTGACGAAGGTTGCTACGAGGGCGCCGGCAACATACGCGTAGGAAGTCTTGTATTGCTCGACGATGCCGGTGACTGACGCGATGATTGTTTGGTTGGCCATCCCGAGGTCACCGTCTAGGCTTTTGTCGGACAAAGGCGCGCTTGTAATGTATAATGCGGTTACGAAGCTCAGGGTGTTGAGTTTGCGCAACACCTCGACGGCGGGATCGTCTTTACCTTGGCTGATATTGTACCAGCAACGATTGAGCGTTTCATCCGATTGGGCATAAAAGGTAGTCTGAGCCGAGGCGCCTCGGGCGACAATATCCCATGTGTCGTTGTTGTAGGTAAGATTCGCTGAAGATTCATAGAGATTGTTCATGATATATGTTAAAGCGCCGATAGTAGAGGGTTCACCGAACTGCTCTTCGAGATTGACAGTCTCTTTTACTTCAATTTGGTCGATCTGCGTAATGTTGTCGAGACTCTCACCAACCTTCCAATTGTCGGTGCGGGAATCATTAGAGAACTTGATGTGTGTGACGATGTTCCCACCCTCTAGTTCTTCTTCACTTGGTACCATAACAGTGACGGGATACTCAACGACTGCAGGCTTGATCTCGCACCTACGAATAGTCATGGTACCCGGACAAGAAAGGTCGTCTTCTCCAGCTTTGCTATCGACGTACAGCATCTCAAGATCGATGCTGGCGTATGGTTTAGTTTCCGTTGGCCACGAGGGATTGAACTTGACATCCCACAGCGGATACGAGTTATCGGATGGAGGCATGCCCTGTAGCCCCTCTGATTCTCGTCTCTCATATCCATAGTCCACCTGCCTGGATGTACTGGTGCAATTGAATGAGAAACCCAGGCCTTCGAAAGCGCCATGACACTCCTGTTGGAAAGGGCAATCCCAAAAAGACTTCTTCTGACGAAGAGTGTCATGCACCTTACCATTCGCGATCTTGCCACTGTACGCATCCAGCACGCCAGCCCATGTCGCATCGACAGTCTTGATATTGCCGTCTCTTCCGGGTATACCACCAGAATTCGCTGGCCAGTCTTTCTCGATAAATCCAGTCATAGTGTGGTTCATGTAGTTCTTTTGCTGTGTAACGATAGTCTTTGTCGCTTTTTGAAATAGCGTACTGTCAACGACGGCGAACTTTGTCATGAGAGCGGCGAGAGCGATGATGTTGAAGTGTCTGCCGGAAGTGATAATCGCATAGAAGCTATAGGAGTACGCGTGATTCTGATGTAGTCTCCGAAGTGAGCTTCCGCGCAAGGCTGTCCTCCACCATGCGATTGCCAGCCCCTGACCGATCAATGTGACCAGCCCCAAGTTCTGAACTTGGTTCGCAATGTTGAGTAGTACGTTGGGTTGGGCGGTAAATCTAGTCTGTCAGTCCCCGTTTCATGTTTAATCGGCTAAGCTGACCAACTTCTTAAAAGGCCAGTCTTTGACTCGCTTTGTGTTCGATGTAGCCAGGATAATTACAGCTCCGGCAGTGGCCACGAGGATGACCATAAGTCCCGCGAAGCCGAGCCATGGAAATTGATGCTTGAAGCCAGGTCTCCAGTCAATACCGTCTATATCCGAATTGTGTTCGACATGATCGAACTTTTCATTATAATCTTGTCGAGACGTGTTTGGAGATTCGCTAGAGCTACCTGTGTAGCTAGTGGAATTTTCGCGTTCCTCGGTAATAGCATCAATCATGACTTTGAAGTCTTCCTTTGGTGAGCTGGGAGCAGTCTTCCAGCTATCCCTATTGTGTCCAGAATCATTGTTGACCAAAACTGGCGACTGCGGGACTTGGCGTATCTCATTATCCATTGGGCGATCTAGCATGTGGCAGCAAAACCACAGGTGAATAGAAGAAACGAGGCCCAGTGATGACTGAAGCTAGAGAAGCGATAAGTAGATGATAGGAAGACTTCGTGAAACAAAGGGAGAAGCAAACAAATTCGCGTCGCGTGCTCCTGGCAGTCGTAATACATATAGAGCGATGTGGCACGGGATGCTGGTATATCAGCACAGGCCTTGCCGTCAGCCAGCCCAATGTTCATGTTGCATCTTAGTCGTTTGTGGGGGCTGAAGCTCACCAGGAAACCCACAAAGGCTTAGAGACGTGCATGCTGGCGTAGTTGACGATTGGTTGTGAGCGCGTAAGGGACGCGGATGTCAGCCGCAGGAGGCTTGCCAACACACGCCTTACCCTTTTCAACCATCACAGATGCACGAAGCGAGATTGTCCAATCGCGGAGAGAATAAGATCGGACGGTCTTTGAGCCACGCCCTCCGCGTTAAGCTGGAAAGAACGAGTCGATTCCTAACAGGCGATTACATTCAGAAGCAATTTTCTAGCTCTTTCCCCTCCCTGCAACCTGTGAATTTGTGTTCTATAAGCCCACGGTAAAGGACAGCCGAAAAGGGATTAAAGTAGTCGGCAGTAAGCATGGTCGGTGATTCCCAGCAGCCACAGAAGTCTTGGTCAATGCACATACTGTTGGCATATCAGCTCGGATGGTAGAGCGGTACAACACTAGCCTGGTTCCTTCAAGTGTAAGTTCCAAGAATAGAATTCGCATAAGGTCTTTAAAGCAGGTGTTTTCGCGAAACCTCAAAGAAGGACTTGGCCCCCCGAACCTTCCATTGCCGGAAACGCAAACGATGCGCTGTCACATTAAGATCTCAAGAACGCTTTGCGTCCCAGTTTGCCGTTTTTGCATATATTTGAGCGGCAATGTTTGGACTGTGCGATAGTTGCAGGAGCGGATGCATGCATCGGGGCATGCGGGGTTGGTAGTGCCAATGCCGGAAGTTTGCCTTCAGTCCTGCATTTGTTCATCGTCTGGCTCTTGCTCCTCCTTGACATCATCTTTCCCACCTTCTTCCTCTGGAGGCATAGACGTAGGGAACGAAAGATGTTTCCAATCTTCAATCTGCGAAAAGTTAATAACTCTAGTGTAGCAAGAGAAAGATATTACACACCTCCTCGGTGATGCTCTTCAGGCGGTCACGGATGCTCTCCACAGCATAACTACCCAAGATCAATCGTAGCGGAGGATAACTACAATGACCTAATTGCCATACCAACTCTGCACTTTTTACAGCGCTGACTGGTTGTCTGTCGTTCAGCCATTGTACCATCCGTCGCGCGTGTTGCGCGGGACTTGTCAGCCCCGCATAGGGTTCGCTAGGATTCGGTTTCACGAAGAAGTGGCCATAACGCTTCGGCTTCGGAGGTCCTGTTCCAGGAGTAGGCGCCGAAGTATAGCTGGGTGGTAATATGTTATCGTCTGGTTCGTCCAATCGAACATGACCAGGCTCGACCAATGTTGCTTTGATGTTGAAGATATCGACCTCGTACAACATGGACTCTATCAGACCCTCAACAGCGTACTTGGTCGCACAATACGGGCCGAGTCCCGGCACGCCAAGTGCTCCAGCCGTGGACGAGAATATGAGGTATCGACCAGAGTTCTGGGAGCGGAAATATGGGAGGGACAACTGCAAGATGTGAAGTGTTCCGAGGAAGTTTGTTGTGAATTGATTGCGCAGGTCGTAGTCGTCCTGGTCCTCGCATGCTGCTATGACGCCGTAGCCGGTGCTATTCGCTATAACATCCACCTGACCCCAGTATTCGATGCTCTTCTTGATGACCTGATCTACTGTCTCGCGTACTCTTACGTCACACAACAGGCCCAGGCAGTTCCTGTTCTGCCATTTGTCCATCTGTTCTGGTGTGTTCTCCTCGGTCCATCCCACTGCAGTGCATTGGTCGCCATGCGCTAGTATCGCTCGAACGAGGGAACGCCCCATATGACCGGTCGCCCCGAAGACCTACATTCCGGAGTTAGCTACCGATGACCAGGTGGTCTATTCAGTGACTTACAATCCATACTGCTCGCTTGGGTGGATTGTGCTCAGATGGTGGGTCGCATGTTGCTGGCAGGATGAGATTGGGATTGTGAGTGGCCGCGCCTGGCGAGAGGCTTTGACTTTGGGTATCGAAATCCATAGCGACGTTGAGGAATCTCTACAATGATATGCGATGTCGAGCCGGTGCAGAAGGTGGGGAGCTTGGCAGCCAATCGGACTTGCAACTGCCGCTATCTCCGTGTGCTTCAAGTGAAGGAGCAACGAGGACGCGTGGAGGGACGGGGTTCGTTGCGCGATTGATGCGCATAATGTATCGTGTCGCGTCGGAATAAACATGTCGGATGACCATCGTAGCTGGACTTAGCATTCAAGGCATGATGAACCTTCTCTCGTCGATGAGGAAGCGCAGCCCCTCGATAACCAGGTGGGCTGGGAAGACCTGTTGTCGGTTCATGAAGTTGCTGACTAGAATGAAGAACATGATAAAGATATCAAGGTGCATAGGTGAAGTGAGGAAGAAGTGGTATGCGAGGAACAGAAAGGCCTGGGCCCGGTATCTGCTCTTGATAGATCGGATAACTCTGTTCGCCTTGATAGCAGCGGCGCGGTTGGTAGGGGTTTTGAAGGTGACAACCTTGGAAAGGAGGGGCATCCTAGGCAGAATCGAGGTTTCAGGCGGCTCTGAGTCTGGGGAGACCTCGGGGTTGCGGAGAGACTTGGTGGAATGATTAGGAGGCTCTCTTATCGATAGAGCTCGGTCCCTGCGCGGGCGTCCTTCCGATGCACAATTACGTCTGTCTGCCTTCTTCGAGCCCGTTCAATCCACAACCATCATGCAATTGTTCCACCGATAGCAATATCAACCATGGTCAAAGCAGTGCCCACGCCTGTGGCACTGCCGGTCACACAGGGCAGCTCGTCCTCGTAACCATACCTTCACTCCATGGAGGACCCCGCTAACATGCTGTAGACTTTCCTTCACGCAAGGATTCCTGCTCGGCCAGCTTTCAATCGCGATTTTGATGTTTTGTTTCATAAAGTTCTTTATCTTTGGAGAACCACCATCTGCCGACGATCGCGCGTTACACCTCAATTCCCTCCGCCGAGCTCGAACCCTAGCACACCAACAATCGTACAAGCAACTAAGGACGCGCGCAAATTCAACGTCCCTGTCTCTACGTCATAAACCGTCAAGAAGCATAATACGAAAGGGCGAAGAGAGCAGAGGAGGACCAAGCATCACAACTATCCTCGCGAAGACCTACTACAACGTAAAGGGACACCAACCGGAGAGCTTAGACTGGTTCAACGTGCTCATTGCGCAAACAATCGCACAGCTGAGAGCCGACGCGCGGCAGGACGATGCAATCCTCACGTCGCTCACCGAAGTCTTGAACACGGGCAGCAAGCCAGACTGGATTGGCGAGATCAGGGTAACGGAGATAGCGTTGGGGGATGAGTTCCCCATCTTCAGCAATTGCAGAGTAATGCCTGCAGAAGACGGATTTTGGTATGGGCCGGGAAACACAGGGAACGAGAAAGAGAGACTACAGGCACGGATGGACGTTGATTTGAGCGATGTCATTACCATTGGCGTTGAGACGACACTGAACTTGAACTGGCCGAAGCCCATGTCTGCAGTCTTGCCCGTCGCGCTTGCTGTGAGCATTGTACGGTTCTCTGGGACACTGGCCGTGTCATTCATACCCTCTTCGTCACCTCCACCTACCGCTGCGCCCATGACCTCACCAACGTCCGAGACCCACCGAGGTTCCTCTCCAAGCCGTCCAGCATCATCATCTGGCGCACCACCACACCGACCTACAACATTAGCGTTCACCTTCCTAGACGACTATCGTCTCGACCTCTCCGTCCGTTCCTTAGTTGGTTCAAGATCCCGCCTACAAGACGTACCAAAAATTGCCCAGCTGATCGAATCTCGCGTCCACGCTTGGTTCGACGAGCGGGCAGTAGAACCCCGCTTCCAACAAATCGTGCTCCCCTCACTCTGGCCCCGAAAGCACAACACGCGAGGCGGAAGCGCCACCGAAGACGCTGACGCTGCAGCCGGAGAAAACGAAAATGACGAGGATGATGAGATCGCCGTCATGGAAGGAAATGGTACCGCTCCAGGTTCAACCTCTTTCATCCCTAGTCCGATTGCTGAGAACGCTACTCTGGAAGAACGAATAGAAGCTGAAGGCCAGAAAATGCGGGAAGCCGAGATCAGAGCTGGGGTTAGGAAACCCAGTGCAAGTGACTCTCGTAGCCGGAGCAGGAATAATCGAGAAGATGGTATGCGATGGCGGGGTGAGCAGAGAGATCGAGATAGGCCGAAGGGACCGCATGGTCGACCGAAATTACAGAGTCGGACCACGACTGGTATTGCAGGAGCTATACCTGGCGCTTTGCCGAGAGGATAGGTATGAGTGTCCTTATGATGACATGACTAGATGTGTATTATGTTACAAACGGTGGCGTCTTGGAGGAAAGCGTGCTACAAGCATATGCGTGTATATAGTAATGAAGCTCAACATCACCAATGGCCATCTCTCACAGACATACATTCGATGTGCGTACATTACCAGACAACACAAGACACTGGCCATCACTGATGCTCGCTTCAACGAGGTAAGTCGTATTAATTGCACCGACTCATCTAGATATTCTAGCCAGCAGGGCGGTCTATCCGTCAATAGCACACCTCGTGATACACCGCTAAGCCGACGGATGATGCATTTATCCCATAACAGAATGAGGGCAGAGATTGAGAAAAACGCCATGGGTATCTGTCGTTCTCTAGTTATGACAGGAAAGTAGATAGCAAGAAGGTGAAGATGGTTAAACATGGATCCTCAAGACAACATGTCGTAAAGTGGCGTTTGGAGGTACGCATACACATTTACTGCCCGTTGATGGTAGGAGTAGGTGCAGACTGATGTGGTGGTTGAGCCTCGAATGTGCTAGCTGGAGCCTCCACGGGCGCCTGGGACTTTGGTGCTTCTTCAGGGGGAGTTGGTGCAGAGAAAACTCCATCGAGCTTAGGCAGCGCTTCTGGATTGCTGGTAGAAGTCTGTTGTTGCTGTGCGACTGGGACAACTGGAGTAGAGATTCCGTTCATAGTACCTGCAGATGCAGGCGCGGGAGCGGGTACTTCCTGCGCGGGCGCAGGCTCAGGCTGTTTTGGTGCGCTGGTGTTGGTCGACGACGCGACTGTCGCAGCAATAGAATCGCGATCCACCCCATTTGTCATGGGCGCATCTTCTTCATGAGCAGGAGCGCCATCAGATGCACCTTTCCGGTAGCGTAGAGTGACCATGAGGCTGTGTTGTTCTTCCTCCTCTTCTGATTCCTCCACGGCATCCTCTTCGTCGTCGTCGTCGTCAAGATCCATCTGATCTGGCTCCTCTTCATCGTCATCTCCACCATCCCAAGAGGTCGCGTCCTCCTCGTCTTCCGAATCTACTGTTCGGTTGAATGAACGACTGTTTGTGGTACCCCTGTTGGCGGCGCGAGTCGATCGGCCATGGCCTGAATATGGTTCTTCCGACACATCAGATCGGACATAGTCGCCAGTCGCAGGCGATGCATGGTCTGCAACTTGTCCACTGAGCAATGTTTCGCCATATAAACCGGTTGCTCGAGATCGGACCTGTCGACCACTGGCGGTGACAGTAGGACCAGAAGGTGCAGCGGGTGTGTCGCGGCCCGACTGTCGCCCTGATCGGCGTACGGAGGTGTTGTCTGAATCGAAGTCGTTGTCTTCGTCAAATGTGTATCGTTGGCGCTTGCCACGGGTGCGGCCTTCATATAAGGAGAAACCAGGTTCTGGGCGAGTGAAGGCATCTTTGCGCTGGCGTGTGTACTCTCGTCGCTTACGTTTCTAAATGACTGTTAGCATAGGATGACTTGTAGAATGTACGAGGCGTACATTTTCTGAAGCCTCGAATCGTGGCACGGCGTTAAGCATACGCTCGCCAAGTGCCTTAGCCTCTTTGTGCCCATCTACTTCCTCCAGCTTCGTCGCAAGCGCCTTCAACTCATCAATGGAGCCGGCGACACTGATCCATTGTACGTTCTTGCGGCTCGGGTCGGTCTCGCGGTAGATGCGAAAGTGGGTATCGTTTTGTCCTTCGACTAGATAGTACCGGCGCTTGTCACCATCACGGCCCCATGCTTGCACCGATAATGGGATGTTGGTATCTTGCTTGTCCTTGGTAGTGCGAGACTTGTACGCGTTATTGATCATGGCCTTGACTTGTTCGTTTTGATTGAGGCTCCAAAGGCAGAGTGAGTGGAGGAGGGTGATCTATGCGACGGTAAGCATTTGGCGGTATCAGGATAGATGACTACTTACTCGCTCTACTGTCGTCATTGTATTGAAGTTGCGACCGCCGCTGAGGGGATTGCCAGTCCATTTGGTGGGCCATTGTGATTTTTGGGTTTGGATGGCTTCCTCGAGAGCGCGACCGTAATGACCCTTCCTGTAGAACACACACGTGTCAGCTTGTGCACTACTCCATCTACTGTGTGACACCCACGCGACCGCAGAACGGGTGTTTGTGAAGAGCGAAGGGGTCAGACTGACTCGACAGGTTTCTTGCGATTGAGGACGAGGCCGAGCAAGGCGCATAGTAAGCCTTCGACGTCGGCGGACGGTGTGTCTTCCGCGACACCCTGCTCGATGTCCTGAGGCCCTACAGAAGGGGAACCGCGAGGGAATGCTTCGTTGAAACGTGACCGGAACATTACGATAAACTATGGCACATGGCATTAGCGACGCCTGAGCGGACGAGTCGTGCGCGACTGCGGCGCAATGCAGCGCGTCACGACGCGACGGACGCGTCCAATACGTACAGCAATGTCTGGGTTGTCCTCTGGTACAGGCTCATGCGGCGGGGACGGCGCCCGTTTTCTTGGAGGCGGCGAAGGCGAACGTTTGTTGAAAAAGGTCAGGATTGTGCCGTTCTTCTTCTTTTTCTGAGGTGCGGGCTTCGCAGCAGCAGCCTCTGGAACTTCAAGCTCCATCTCATCGTCAGTCGGGGGCGCAGAAGACAGAGACGAGTCTGAGTCGGCCATGGTTGCGGTTGTTTGGGGGGGTTGATGTTGGTGGTTGTAATTGCGGCTGCAGTTGCGGGACGAGGAGAGAACTACGAACAGAGCACGGTTAGGCAGGCATGAGGTAATGCTACTTTCGCTAGCACAGAGATCGACTATATGGATCCCTGTAAATTTGGGGTAATCAGGACAATGAGAATGGCCACCCAGAGCGCCTTTGTTTGGTAAAGCGAGTGTCGGGTAGACAGCAACGAGAAAGGAGTGGTGCAGTCAGGGCAAACTTTGTATTCTGAGAGTATCGTTTGTCTATAGACCTGATGTTCGTGTTGTGCTGCAATTGTGTTTCAATTCGCATAGGGCGAAACAATCGCGAAAGGAAAGCTATCAATTTTACCGTCGCTCTTCATCCGTTATCCCAGAACCTGCTTTATTGAGGTCGGCCTTGTGAACACGGCCTGCCGAGGTTCAAGAGTTCCACGATACGAAGTAATGGTAGCTTGAGCGTACCTTGTATCCATTGAGATCAGCCTTGCGCTCTGTATCATTTCGCAAACCTTTTTCATCCCGGACTGTACAACTAGACGTGGAGATGCGATTGTCCTGATGGAATTGTGTATATCGTAGGCCTCCGTTGCTTGTATATCGCATCGATGCACGTTAGTGTTCATGTTTAGGGCCGTCTTGCTGATCGGGCAAGTGAACCCTCGAGACCACCGATCATGCGGAGAACGCTTTACAACTCCACATAGACAAATCGCAACAAGAGCGTGGAATCCTGCGCAGGTATCTTGGTAATGCTTGTAATGGCACATGAACCTCTACTGATTGGGTCCTTCTCTTGACATCTTCACAATCCGCATGAGCGGCATGAAGCGAAACATTGAGAAATGATGTTCTGGAGTGAGCCTGCTGAAGAGGGTATTTCTCTGGGTGTGTAAATGGATCGGTATTGGCTGCAGGTGTGCGTATATGCGTCGGGCTTCTAGTCGGAACTTGGAACTAGCCCGCGCAATCCTGAAGTTGCAGCGCACATCTGCCCGCTCACTGTCGCATACATGATGACAACATCCGCCTTAGCAATGAGCATATTGCGCAAGCGTGTGTCGTAATCAGAAAGAAACTATTTCCGATTATGTAGGATCGACTGAGAGAGAGACTTCGTAGGACGAAGAAAAAGAGGCCATTTCAAAGATGCGCCAGAAAAGACTTATGAAACTTGCTACAAAGGAACGTGAAAGCGCAGGTGATGTGGTGTTGACTTGGCTGAGTATAGACGCGAAATTGAGGTTGGTGTTCCACCCAAGCAGAAGAGATGGCGCTTACCAGGTCACGTGCGGCACTATGCACTGCTGGGCGAGCAGGTAGACGATGATGTCAGAGCCAGTATTGGATCATCTCAATATTCTCCTTTTTCTCCGGTCATGGTCGCAACTTATACAAAAGGAATTGAGGAAAGCAAGGCAACATGGGCAGACGCTAGGACTGTGATGGAGTGTGTATTCGCCGTGGGTCGATCGAGGGGAGATAGCGACTACCTACATTTGACCGCATATGCCAAGGCTGTTCAACGATGTAGAGGTAGGCTTTTCAGCTCTGTCGCGGCGATTGCAGAGGCCAGGTGATATATTGCGCCTGCAGGATAAGACCGCTTGACCTGATAAGGGAAGGAGATTGGAGTTCGCGTTGTTCCTGGCTGCATATTGAGGAGTCTGGAAGGCGCACTAGACTACCAACATGCGCTTCTGTAGGTCCATGTAAACCCCATGGCGGCGCGCGATAGGGAGACAAACCGAGTAGGAGCCTACTGCTGATGCCGGTGATTTGCTCGGTGACTTGCGCAGAGGACAGAGAGCAGCTAAGAGGGACGCTTCATTGGTACCGGTGGCGACGGTGAAACTGCACATCCATCATGTTGCGCTTGCTTGCGCAAACTATGACATGGACTGTGCCAAGAATAGAACGAGGGGGACGGTCTGCGGTAGCAAGTTGGATGCAATGTGTGGCAGGGCGGGTGAAACGGAGGGCATGCCTACAGAGGGCGATAGTGGGTGGGTTGGCTGTGGTGAGTAGACGGAGCGCCGGCGGAAAGGCCTTAGGGCGGCAAACCCCGGAATAGCGACAGTCGTCCCGCCCATGTCAGGACTGGCTGGGCCGCGTCTTTGGGCGACGCTGATCACCGTTGGAGACACCTAGACGGTCTGTGGTTTCTGGAATAATGGGTCAGGGTCGCGCCTGCTTAGCCTGCGATATTGACACGCGTTGGCTCTCAACTTCTGCCGTAGGTCGCCCACTATTGCGAAACCTACTCTCCTGACTTCAACTATTGTTCTTGCCCGCGGCGAATCTGCCTCCTCCTTTCTTCTCTGCTCCCCTTTCTCCGTGTCTGTCGCTGGGTGTTGATCGTCCCGCGCCTGCCTCCCTGGCCCGTATCGATAGCTGTACCCTGCACACGGCCCATATCTTATTACGCACGCCGCAGCCCCCCTCGTCACTCTGCTTGTACCACGCTTCCTTACTGCGTTTCCTCACACACGGCCGCAGTCATGAATGTCACCAAGAAATTCGATCGCTTGAAGCAATGGACCAACGAGAAGATGGGCGCAGAGGCCCGCACTGGGCTCTCCGACGAGTTCAAGGCGCTCGAGGTAGAAATGAACCTGCGTCATGAGGGTATGCACGAATCCGAGCCCTGCAGCTCATTTCTCGTATGCTGACCACGTCTATAGGTATGGACAAGATGCAGGCTGCCATGGCTGTCTATGTCAAATCGCTATCCAAGCGCGCAGAGGGCGCCGACAAGGAGAAGCAGCTTCCAGGTGGCCATTTGGGTTCGTCCATGGTCACCCACGGCGAGGACTTCGAGCCCGACTCGGAATTTGGCAATTGCTTGTCTTGTACGTCTTGCGATCAATCGGCTCATCTACACCCCACTAACTATCAGCAGCACTGGGACGTGCCAACGAACGTCTGGCGCGAGTACAGGAGACGTATGTCGCAAGTGCTACGTCATCATGGCTTGAGGGTCTTGAGCGCTCTTTGATCCAAATGAAAGAGTATCAGGTAGGACAGCAGCTGCATGAACATGATCGCAACCATTGAAGCTAATTGGCCTCAGTCCACCCGCAAGAAGCTCGAGACGCGTCGTCTGGCTTACGATACTTCTCTAGCCAAGATGCAGAAGACGAAGAAGGAAGACTTCCGCATGGAAGAGGAACTACGCGCCCAAAAGGCCAAATACGAGGAGACCAGCGAAGAGGTCTTCAGGAGGATGCAGGACATCAAGGAGTCAGAAGTCGACATGGTCCAGGACCTGACCGCTTTCCTCGAGGCAGAGCTCAGTTACTACGACCGCTGTCGTGAGATCCTCCTCAACGTCAAGCGGGAATGGCCGGTTCGGTGAGGACTTTTCCATCAGCGTAAGACCTAGTACATTGCTGACGCATGACACAGAGACACCAGGGCTATTCCTAGCCGTCCCGCGCGCTCCCGATCCAACACTGCACACGGCTATGCAGAGCGCTTCAACCCGGTCGAAGAAGAACCCGAGCCCGAAGTCACTCGTATGACTATTCCCAAGCTTACGTCCACGCGCAGCCGCTCCCCTGGCCCTGAGCAGTCGCCAGGTGGCTACTCTCTACGCCCCTCTCTTAGCCGAACCTCGACCTACGATAACGCCAATGGCTACCGAGACGACTCCCCTGCCCGCCGACTGTCCCGCGTCCCCACCGATTCCTCTGTCATATCTTCCGGCCGTACCAACCTCCGCCCAGTCCGCCAGGCTAGTGCCAGCCAACAGAACACTTTTGCTGATGACTACGAGGACGATTATGAGCGATCTAACGGCAATGGGTACAGGCGTGATCGATCGCCGCCCAGTCCCGATACGTCGTCATCTGTAGGCAGCGGACGCGGTGGCAACATGTCGCGGGCAGCGAGCTGGACAGCGAGCGAGCAGGGACAGGGAAGCAATGGCAAGAAGGCACCTCCGCCACCACCTCCATCAAGGGCGAAGAAGCCACCGCCACCTCCACCACCAATGAAGCGAAGTGCGTTGAGTGAATCTCAAGTAGCACGCTACTAGCCCGCTTTCATCTTCATTCCGTCTTCTTCTTGGCTAACAAGTCTGTTCGTAGAACCCATGTCTTCTTCTATCAGAATTGCTAGTTGGTAATACTGATATGAGACGCGTTGGCATGTTGTTCAGGACTCACTTGGCAGAAAACTGGGTGAGTTGTCGACCGCAGTGCGGTCTGGCGTATGGGGCGTTACATTTGCGGGCTCATTGAATATCAGTGCCGCGGCGTTTTTGGGGTTGGGTGGAGCATTTCTCAGCGAGCACCTGTTATGCACGAAACAAGTTCAACTGTAGCATTCATGCTAGGCCTCTACCTCTAAATCTACCTCTTTTACACAACTGTAGCGATTGAGTGAATTCCAATGTATGCATTTGATGGATGCCAGCTGTAGGCGAAACATCGATACGAAAGCGGTTTTCCAAAAAAGTAAAGCAATTCGTGTCTATTACTCAACAAGTCAAGGCCGGTTATCCATACCTCGGCCGCTCAAGAATTGTGGGACTTTCGTAAACACTATCGTACTCCGTGTCTCGTACACGCTCCATCATTGTTCGTATTTCGCCTGTTGAGGTGGGAAATTCCAATTTTCCTACATGGACGTTAGCACAATCAACTTTCCATTACCAGACGAAAATATTCACTCACCCATTGCTGTAGCCCCCCATTCGGACTCGTAGTTCCAAACTCGCCATGATGCCCAGTATCCACCGGCACAAAAATAGCACCCGTATCTTGACCAGCACCACCGTTCATTCCGCCCCAAACATCAAAGTCCTGGTCCGAGCCACCGCCACCACCACCACCATTCAGGCTACCAAGTATACTATCGAAATCCACATTCAACCCATCTAGTGTGCCCGTTGTGGGCGTCCTCTGCAATTGACTGTGAATGTTATTATTCGGCGTCTGCTGCGCACCGAATCCAGGGCTAGTCACCGAGCCACCAAAGGAGGGTAACGGTTGAAGTGTGGGATGCTGTTGGGGAGCAACCTGCTGCCTTTTCTTGTTGAAACCCTTCATTACATAAAAGGCTTCTAGGTTTTCTTTTACAGTGAAGAGGAGATCTGAGCAACGTTCTCTTACACCGACGCCATAGCAGTGGCCAAAGATGTGGTCGATGATGGTCGCCATGCGCTCTTTCCGGGGCAGATCGGGTGTACGGTAGAGTTCGGTGAGGAGAAGCAGGACCGCGTGATATTGTTGGTAGGTGGTCGAGTACCAAGCCCAGGAGGAGAGAGAGGGCAGTGTATCTAGTGTTGCACCGATTTCAAGTGTGGTGAGCGCTGCGGTAAGGAGGACGTCGCGAAGGCGGTTCTCGGATTCCGAACGGGGTTGCAAGGAGGTTTGTGGAAGGTGGCGGTATAGGAGCATAGAGTCACAACGGGACATTAGGAGTGTCGCAACTAGGCCTGCGTATCGTTGAATAGGCACGTTGGCATCCAGATATTGGAGGTATTTGCTCTGGATCTGGCGTTTCTTGGCTTCTACGCGGGCGCGGAGATCATGGAGGGTAATGTGTTTGCGATCCATCTCAATCCTGCCGCGGAATATGAGGCGGTGTATCTCATTGCACTCGTAGCGTATCAAAGACAATGTGACGTCTGACCAGCCGGTATTGGAGGTTGGGTTTTGCTGCCACTTCGGGCTGCCAAACTCAAAGACATCGTCATCTACGTTCAACGGAAGAGCAATGTCAAAGTCATCCGACCGGATCGAAGGATGGGGTCCTTGCGCTTCTGCTGTCTTGAAGTCCAAGAAACAGATCTGATACCACAAGAGCGACCGAACATGTCGTTGCAGTGGTGTTAGACTATTGGCCGAGCTGTGGCTCATACGGTGTATGCCTATGCATTGTGCCAGGCGGACCAATGCGCCAACTACAACAGAAGTAGCCCGCGATATTTGCGCCCGGCAGAGGGGTATCTGCGTATGTTAGTATGCAAGAGTACTTTCAGGATAGTTCGATATCGTACCAGGTAGATTGTCAAAGCTTGTAAAGTCCGTATGTTAGATGTCTTCGCCCAATTAGCGCGAAGCAATGCCCGCTCCGTAGCTTTTTGTAGGCGCAGGAAAAGATCCTCTTTCGTAATCCCAAACTGCGACTTGGCTTGTAACGGTGAAACAGAAGCAGCGGCAGCCATACATACTGCCAGTATCAAGGCAGTACAGGAATTCTGGTTGGGGCTCCCAATCTCAAGGTTCATCCAAAAGCGATCAAACATGCGCTTGAACGATGGAAGATGCAACACGTGCGCAAGCGGGCTAACGGCTTCCGTGTACCGCTGTAGTAGCCCCTCGGCCTCCATCTTGGTGGGCAGTTGTGGCGCCTCAACTTCGTTATTCTGATGTATAGGCAGCGAACCGCCTAGCAACAGATTCAGCGACGGCGCAAGCGACGGCATCTGCTCTGCTGATAGAAGAGCAGATGACTGTGTCGCTCTTTGGCCTGTGACTGATGAAGAAGGCGTGAAGCTCTCAGACAGAAGCTTGCCGAGCTACACAACGTTTCAGTCTGCGGTCATGGAAAGGCAATGCAAATGCGAGATAAAGCACATGGACAGGGCAGAAAGTACCTCTTCGGCATATTGGGGACGGAAAAATCCAGTGACGTTTTCACAAATGATCATCCTTCCGATTCGAATCGTGAGATCAGTTGCGATCTGATCTTCGTCGTCGTTCTCGTCCTCATACACGTCGTCCTGCGTCTCTTCAGGCTCTGCGGGCAGTCTCTCCCAAGCATCCGTTTCGGGCTCGACATCTTGCTGATACGCTTCCCACTCGTAATCTCGTGGTGGCGTGCCAGGCGTCGTGGTGTCAACGGATCCCGCATTGTCGTATCCATCATGTACACTCGCACTACTCTGTGTGCGCACGGGGAGATTCTTGGTCCAGTCCGGGATGGTAACACCAGTGCCGCTCTTGCTCTGCGCGCGCTCTCGCTGCTCCCTTTCTTTCTTGCGTGCAGCGCTCTCAGGAACGGTAATAAAGACGCACTCGCGTCCGAAGGCTGTGCAGTTCTGGCAAGGATGGGTTTTGGAACATCGAGACTTCCGGGTTCGACATTCAACGCAGCTGTTGATGGGGCGTGGATTTCTCCGGCGGACCACTCGAGACTGCAAGACCTGTCCTTGTTCTGGCATGTCTCGCAATCCTCATTTTCGCGCCATATGTGGGTGATGTTGGGAAGGTGGCTGAGGCTGATGGTGGAGAGAGCGATCGGATGTCGGCCCGTAAGGGAACCGAGTTGCCTATAACACCAGCTGATGATGATGCACGTGTTCAGCCTTGTCGCGTCTTCTTGGCTCTGAGCAGATTAGCAGACTTTTCGCCGCCTTCGGAGTCATGCAGGTACCGCCCAACAATTGATTTATTGACTACGGGCCATAGGTCAGCGCTGCTATCCAGGGCCGGCTTGAAACGAATGATGTGGGCCTTGGTGGGATGCATCTCGACCCTTAGCGCGGGGCATGCACTTTGCTGCACTCATTGCGTACTTGGCTGACGAACACTATTGGGATATTGGTTGTATTCACATGGGAAGCCTATCGACCTGTATTGCCTGAACCTGCATATCATGCCACTCGCTTTGACGCCCAACTCCAGGACCTTGATTGTACTTGCGCAAGACTACATCAGCTATCTACCTACCTCCCTCTTCAAGCGAGCCGCAGCTGATGTAGCGGGAGGCTCGGGCCACGAGTCGACAGCATCTTCGACTTCCTCCAAGAAGGAGGTGCTGTTATGCACGGTCGTACCACCGAGCACAACGCGAATACCAGGCGAACTTGCATTGACTTGCGCAACCATCTTGGCTTCCTCGTATGTCGCGCCGCCGACCATGAAGACGATTATATCCTGCGGCTTATCTTTGGTCGAGCCGCCACCTTCTACGAAGGGGTACAGCTGCTGGCTCAAGCGACCCTTGATCATGTCTTGCAACGTAGCTTCTAAGCGAGGCGAGTGCTGTGTGTAGACGTTCTCAACACCCTTCAGGCCCTTGAGTCGATCTCGGGCACCCCCGAAAAAGGATCCAGGCTGGAACAGGTCCGGTACCCCACCTGCTGCCGTAGTCGCTTGTAGCGAGTCATGGTAGGTCAGTAGCTTTGTGATAAGATTGATGCGATGCCGTGACAGTCCGCCCGCAACGGCGAGCAAGTCTAGGAGCATGGCTGTCGAATTCGAAGACGCCTTTGAGTACCGTAACGCGTAGATGGCAACGAGGCGAAGCTTGTTGTTCGCCGGGACCCTGGGGTCCTGGATGATCTTTTGTAGCGACTTGACGTCGTTGTTGTGATTGTCTGTACATGCTAGACTCTGTTCGAGCTCACTGATGTCCAGCAGACTCTCTTCGCCAACTCGTCTGCTGAGCTCACCAACGAGTGTAACATGTTTGGTGACATTGCCGGAGAGCTTACGGAACTCGGGAAAGTCTTCGATGAAGCGCTTCATATCGGCAATTGAGTCGAGCTTTTGCGATCCTTGCTGTTTTGATGCAAACTGTTCAACGTACTCTTTCGCGTTTTGTCCTAGGTCACCAAAGTTGAGATACATGTTCTTCTTGAAGAAGGGATCCTGATCTTGCGATAACACAATTTCCTTGAGCTCGGGACGTATTTCCGGCACATCACGTAGATCCACGCGTCCATTATGTATTCCGAGTAGCTCGTGAACCATAGCCTGATATGTCCATTGTGTTAATAGCGGGGTAACGGGATCGTCTCTTCGGTCTACGATCAAAAGGATGGGCGGAGTATCAGTCTTGCGGAAATCGAAGAGTTGCTCTTCCTGTGTCATGTGGTATCGGACCTCGGTCGCTAGCTTCTTCACAAGCAGACTGTTCTTCTGATATCTTATCAAAGGCTTCTTCTTCAGCGACAGAAGCAGCGCCATGACTGCCTCTGTTGACCTGTGTAGTGCATCCTGATTCCACGAGTCCGGGTTTGTGCTCCATATCCTGTGATCCGGGAAGCCGAGGTTGAGGGACATGAGGTCGGGATTTATGACGAGAAAATCGGCGAAGTATTCTTGGATGGCGCGTACGACTTCGTGGTCATCTGCTTCGGCGAGGCGTTCCAGCGAGGACTTTTTTATTATGTTGCTAAAGTCTGTACGTGTCAGCAATCGTTGGTGGCTCTGCGTTCCTCCAAGTGCGTACAGATGTTGTATTCGCCATACTTGGGCTCTCGCAGCTCCTCTATCAGGCTCTGTATAGACTCTGGGGATGGTCGCACAAAGCATAGGCAGCGAAGATGGCGCATCTTCTCCCGCTTTGGGTTGTCGATACGGCTACCGACGTGTTAGCCGTGCATCGCATGGTGCATTGTGAGGGCGCAGTACTCAGTAAGGTAGACTTCATGGTTGAGGAGGGCGGATTGTGTCGTCGCCGTAGAGACAATAGGCACCTTGCATCTGTCAGCATTGTGTGTAAGAGCACCTGGTAGAGGAGACAAACCCACAGTCTCGTTGTCGAGTAAGAGGATCTTCATCTTGGCCGCGGAGGTGCCTGTCGCAGCGGTGTCCCCGACCGACACCATCTTGGTGATGTAGCCCGAGACGGCTTGTATAATATCCATGGTCGCGAAGAAATTGCCTGTAAGCCACTATACACTTGTGACCGTAGATTATCAGAGTCGTCGTGTGGCTTGCTCTTCCATGTCGACGCGGTCGTTGGTCAGCCCAAGCTAGGAACGTGGCTCAAGCGCGAGAGCTCAGGAACATGACGCCGCCAAGGCACCCTCCGCGACCCCTCTACATCAACCACGATTCTTTGCATGTTCGGCCTCTGTACTTTGTCTTCATCGACAACGTGCATTTGCTCTAGATACAGTGCCCGGGCATGCGCAAACTCCAACAGTCACATGTTGCGTTTTGCTGCCTAATACATAGCTGAACTTGTCAGACACCTTGATATCTGCTGAACTTCTCAACACGGCCAACCTAGTCCAGTATGCGACTACTTCAAGATGCGCCCCTCAGCAGCTTCCTCAGCATGTGTCCTAGTACGACCAAGCGCCTTCGCTTCAGCATCGAGGATCTCTGGCATCAGATCGAACACACTCTTCTGCTTAGGGGTCCAACCGAACAGCTTGTTGGCTCGAATGGCCTTGCAGCGAGAGTTGGTGCCTGGAGCATGTCAGCATGTGTCCTATTCCCAAGCATAGCATGACTCACCCCAAAGGTAGCTGCCCGCTGGCCTCAACTCGTCAGCCTCCTCCTTGCTCACGTTGTCGACGCCTTCATGGTTGATGAGCTTGTTCTTAAATGCGACCTCAGAGATCTTGCTGCTGATATCACCCCAGCGGAACTCTCCGCTCTCGGCGAAATAATACCCTTCCTTGTTCCAGGTCGCTTTTCCACCATCTGGTGAGAGAGCAGCCGTTACCAGTGCCAGGAAGACTTCGCTGAGGTCTTGGACGTGAACCTGAGTCCAAATGTTGTCGCCATCACCAACAGCGAAAGCTTTCATACGCTTCAGTGCTACCTTGGCCATATCATATATCTGCACACTCCTTTGGTTGTCGGGACCACGTCCTGGGCCATTAATACACGGTGGGCAGACGATAGCAGACTGGATATTGCCGGCCGATGCCTCGTTCGATGCGAGGATGATCTTGTCGACATTGCGGTGGAGCGCTACATCAGGGATTGAAGTGACCTCACCAATGTTGTCCCAATCATCAAAGGTCTTCTCTCGCTTGATACCAAAGGTGTTGTTCTCAATGTCCGGATAAGACAAGACACCAGTTCCAGAGGTGTGAATGAGGTATGTCTTTCTTCCACTTCGAGCAAGTCCGGCAACGATAGCATTTGCAGCGGCTACGTGATCGCAGTCGGCGCAATGAAGAACAATGTCTGCATTTGAAGTCTCGGTGGTGAGCAACTCGGTGCTGTCAAGCGTACCGTACACAAGTCGAGTCTTTGGATATTGTGCGGCAACCTTGGCTCCTTTGTCGCTGTTGCGAACAAGTGCAGTGATCTCCAGGTCTGGGTAGGCATTTGCAACTGCATAGAGGGCATCACCTCCGATGTAGCCGGTGGCACCTGTGCTGAACCCTGTTAGTATCTAAATGCTAAACTTAATGCTTCCTAGTATTGTTGGTGGTCCACATGTGCTTGCATGAGGTATCTTACAGACTTACATGAAGAGCTTTGGCATGTTTGAAGCGTTGATGTGATTGTATTGAGAAGACGAAGCAGAGGTTAAAAAAAAACTGTTGCTAGAAGTGACAATATATGTTGGAATCACCAGGCTGCCGTCGCTTTGAAATCGTGTGGGTTTATAGATCCACAGCTAGCAGGAACGTACGTCACAGATGTGTACCAGTGGCTGCTAAGGACTTATCCGCCCAAACACAAGCGCCTTGCTCATGCAAGGCTACAGTGCTTACTGTGCGCATACCAACAACAATCATGAGCTCTACAATCCATAGAAGAGTGTCGAAGTATTGTTTGGTGCTTAATCATCGACAATTAGCTAAGCAGTAGCCTTCATTCGAATAGCCTTCATCTGAATAGCCTTCATGTACGCCTGTCTGGCGCGATGCCCCGCAGCGGGGCACGCGCTTCTGGAAACTTACCTTGTTGTATGCAAGCTTCAATATCTGTAGAGCTATGCTAAGTATGCCAGTGAAGTAGTCGCGCACAGAAGCCTTTAAGCTTTGTCGCTGGATTTAGTCTCCGAGGCCTCGCAGCTCCTCACGATTGAGCCTCGGTAAAGTAGACGCAGTTTACGTCATTACCTAACCATACAAACACCATTGTCACATCTCGATTACCATCTAACGTTGTTAAGTCGACAGAACTGATCTTCTGGCATAATCGATTAAACGCGTTTGCTACCAAAATGCCTCTCTGTACGCTTCACCTACTCGCTCTCCATAGCACCACACCTAACCCAGTCCTGACTTTCCTGTCAACACTCAAGTCCACGAACCTATCACCTCTCGTAGTCTCACGCGTCATACGTTGGATCATCCTTCCTTCTAAGCTTTCGACCGAAAATCTCCTTGCTAGGAACATCCACTGGGATCTCCTACTCATTCTACCTAGCACCGATGCCCTTCCGTCAGAGCTCGAGAAACTGGTCCAACACCACTGGAGCGTAACAGCCGGTGTACCATCTCGTTTGGTCCAAGATTTCCCATCGAAGAACAACAAGCTTCTACATCCAGATCCAAGTTCCGTGCCTGAAGTCCAAACAAAAAAGAGCAATAAGACCACTGAGTCGAGCCAAAGTCTGGAACTCAGCGATGAGCTGAACAAATGGATCGAGACCTTCGTCAACAGCGGTGCTAAAGAAGGCAAAGGCGCAGTATCAATGTTCAACCTCCTCGCTTTTAACTCCGGGATGAAAGAAGAATACCTAAAATACGGTGCCGCATTCGCCAAATCGATCGGTTCGAAGCACGGCGGCAATGCAAAGATTGTTGGAAACGCGACACACGTCAACGGTTCAGCTATTACCAAGTCTTCGAACAGCAGTGTCGGTACCAACGGTGAAGTGGGTGGCGGAAAAGATGACTGGGATGAGATTGCGCTGGCGCATTATCCTAGCATCCTGCATTTTAGGGATATGTTGGCGAGTGAGGATTATCAAGAGGTCAACCATAGGCATCGTGTGCCCAGTCTGAGAGATACATGCATTCTCATGACGAGTGAGATCGCGATTGAAGAGTTGATGAGGGAAGGTAAAGGCGGAGCGAAGCTGTGAGGGTCTGTTCTAATCCGAAGATCATCTTACAGACACTGAGTGATAAAGTAGTACAGTGCGAATAGACTCGTAAACATTGTATATACGCGTATTATTTCTTCGTATGCAATATAACCTGAGATTGCTGATACGGGAGCTTTGCGCTGGATGGTGCCGCTATAGAACTTCTCATATCCGGTACATGTTGTTCACCATTGAACGAGGAGCCTTCTTATTGATCACATGTCATCCTCCGATACTACAATGAAGGCTTGAAAAGACATGCGACCAGAACGTTCGCGATGAAGGCAACGTCGACAAACTTAGAGGTCTCCAAGCGCTCTCAAGCATCTGAGTCGACGATCAATTCACAGAACGACAGACGTCCAATCCCTTCACCAGGATGTAACATCATCTCTTTCTTGACCTTGCCCTGGCGGGTGCGCCATCCACCTCTCGGACTGTTGATGTCTGGTAACACCCAGTTCCTCTTTTCTTGTTCCGCAACCCATTCCTTGTATAGATCCTCAGCCAATTCGACCTTCCGCTTCCAGATTTCGTCCTTCTCGCCTTTCACCTTGAGCAGAATGGGAATCTTGCAGTCTCCTACTTCGGTAAGATCGAGACTTTCGGAAACGAAACACCGGCGGTGGAGTAGACATTCTTCAGCGCTGTCGTTCCGCTTGCACCTGTTACAGGATGGATAGGTTCTTGAACATGGGAGGCCGGCGAGTATGCATTGGAGGCAAGAGGTAATCCAAACAGGTTGCGGCTCGTTTGGTTCTTGTGTCGAAAGAGGCGATTGAGCTTTGGGATCAGAAACCGTCGTAGGCTCGCCGGTATCCGCATCCAAAATCGAAACGGAGAAGTTGAGACTGGGTGGTGGCACGCTCGGTGGTAGAGAAAAGTTGGGTGGCACCGGCCGCTCAGCTGGGCGTTCAGTCTTGGTTGCTAGCTCCCAATCGTCACTACCGATGCTCGTGGTATTGGAATGGTCATCTCGTGTCTTGCATCTCGGAGTTGGGCTGCTGAACAAACCCTTACGGAGAGGCCTATCGAAAATGCTCGACTCGGAGAATGTAGTATCAGTGGGCGAGACCTCATCCCGTGTCGGACGTGCGCTTGTTTGCCTTATTGGAGTCGTCGGTTCCAAAACCCGTATTTCATCTTGGGAAATTTGGTGGCCTTCGCTTTTATCTGCTTCGAGGTCCCTGCTCTCTAACTTCTCTAGCCATCCCTCAATACGATTAGGAGATTGCATCTGCTCTCGCGAGGTATCCAGCGGAAAACGCTTTCTAGGGTAGCTCATACTGATTACGGCTGATTTGGGGGTGTTTTGGATGTCCAGAGGTAAGGAGACGCGGAGGTGGTGAGGCCGAAAAGGTACAGTGATATCAATTCACGGTGAGGTTCAAAACGCTAGTCCGGACACGTTAAGGAAGTGAGATATGAGTTCGACATGCTATCGGAATGCGGGGTAACGAAACCGATGATATACTCGAACATCAAAGGGCAGAAAGGCTTGCGAATTGGTGTTCATGGTTGTTTGGTGTCGTTCGTGGTTGGTGTAGCTGATTCTATGATCCCAGATCAGTCTATAGCCGACCAATGTATATCTGCAAACAGGTCTGAAAAAAGCGCGGCCTTCTGCTCAAAGCTTCTTATAGGAGGACTTGGACTCTTCAGCAGCCTCTTGATGGTCGTCTCTTCTACTCTTGAGTTTGGCATCTCGAGATGTCAGCTGACATACAGTGCAATCGATCAAAGGGTGGCTCGAACAGCTAGACGTTGTAGGCGACTCGGGGCTGCTTGCTTTGTACGTAGGCGCTCTATTGTTACAGGAGGCTCTCGCTCGGCAGTAGTATGCAGGCGCCATGATTACACTGTTACATGATGAGACCTTAGAGCAGAACGTGACAGGGCAGAGTTGATCTGCCGGGACGTCATGATACGCGATGGAATCTGTCCCAGTATCGATTTTTGGTATGCCGAGTAAACCGTGTGGTCTTGCGAAGCGTTGCTTCTCGTTAAAGAAGAGTTTGAGGCGGAGCTTTGAGAGGGCACTTCCATCTTACCACGCATAGCTAGGTATCTTCAAAGATTACAAGCGAGTGAAAATGAGAACTAATTCGTTCTACGATTGATCATCATAGAAAATCCATCGTGTCCACAATTCAGACGCGTTTTCGGCATACTTGTATAACATCGAGCGATAGGATATATTGGCGATAGCTGGTTCGTGAGGGGAAAGAGCTCCACGCGGATGTCCGAGGCGTCGCGACGCGTCTCGGATGGTGTTATACGAGTCATGCTAGCGTGACGCGTAAAATGTCCCTATTGTAAACCCAGCGACTTCACTTTATCACATGAACCTCTTGGATCTGTCTAACCTCAGTGAAACACGAAGAGCAGGCTAGTAATATCAAGAACTTAAGTTCCAATCACAACAATCATTATACCCGAGCGTCAACCGCAGTGGCATGCCCCGAAGGTCTTTTCGTTTCTAGTCGTCACAGTTCATTTCTAAGATACTCTTTGTTGAAAGATTCGATTCTCCGCATTTTTAGATTGAACCACCGTTACATCCGGAACGTCTGAGTCGAACGACCTGACACTATGCCTTGAGGAGGCGGGGTTGGTTAAAACGGCGTCCGAGCCCATACTCTCAGTCGACGGTGACGTATTTGGACACAATACTCAAAGTTCGCGAGTTAATTATGGTGTTTGGTGGTATTCCAAGGCATATCGTGATGCATACAGACAAGGTGAGCAGGTGTTTGCTAGAGTGAAGGTGAACTCTATCACCAAGATTCGTGCGTCCCTTTGCCCTTCATATTGACAACGTTGTCAACTCAAACGCTCTCCCTAAAATCTCTTCTCCTATTCAGAACCAACTCTTTCAATGTTTACAATAGCAGCTTACCCAAACTACTACACATTCATCCCCACGAACACACCTTCACCCGCCAACACTGAAATGGAACCCTATCTCCCACCAAGATACTACGAGCTCCGGAGCGGTCTCCTCACCTTCGCCCTCGTTATGGGCTTCACCATGTTTGTTGTGTTTTCCGGTTTTAGAGAGTACGGCATGACCACCAAGTCAAGCCCAGGTAAGTCGCCGCAACTATTCCTCTCCAGGTAAAAGGTCTGACTTATATCAGAGATCGGCATGACCAAGGAAGAGCTTCAGGAGCTCACGAGAAAGGGTGTACGACGCGAAGTGGACATCATTGAGAGGTGCATGGCGGCGCGCGAGAGCCAACTTGACGAAGCCATTGACATGGCGCACCAGCATGAAGCTCGCATAGCGGCACTAGAAGAGAAATACGACAAGGCTATGGAGGATGTGGGCGCCCTGCGTGCCTCAATCAGCAGCCTTACCCCTGAGAACCTTCCGGCTACACCGTTGGTACAATCTTTGCTGTCCGAGTGCAGCTCACGGGCACCCAGCTACCATCCATACA